TCTCTTTATTTCTACTTACTCTATGCCTGTTCAAAAGGATTTGCTTTTACTCAGAAGGGGAAGTATCTGACCATTTTTGGGCTCGTAGGCACTATACTATAAGAATAAGAATGATAGTTGCCAGCTGTCAGCTTAAGGTACCGACATCTCCCACCTCTAGATTGCTAATCTTGCTGCTAATGCCATGTGTATTTCAGTATTGTCATACATCTTATTGTTTTTCACGTTCCCGAACATCAAGTATTGTTAGGCAACCAATTTGGACGAGATTTTCGATTAGGATATGCTGTTATATAGGAAATTACATATTAGTAGGTAGAGAGTAATCTTTGGTAGAAGTCCATCTTAATGGTGTTGTTACACAATCAGAAGGGACATGTTTCGGTCTTATAAAAGACCATCTTCAGCCTAATTTAAAGTTCTACAATACAAAAAGATTGATGTGAAAGAAATACATTATTTGTTCTTGACTTACTTGGAGTTGTAAAAGTGCTACTAGCTGTAAAATTGTTGCCAATGCCCAAAGTCGAAAAATCGATTATAAGTAATTGAACTGGTTCTCAATAAAGGAAGGGCCCTGTGCCCGGAGAGCGCATACAGTTCATCATGGAGATTTCATACACCAAAATGGTATATGAAGGGTAATTGCCAAATGAATTTGACAACACCATATATTAACGCATACATTAGTTTGAGATGTATTTAATTCCTCTGGTGTACCCACTCTTCAATTGTTTCGTCAGACTAGCTCTCGATATGAACAATTGTATGCGAGTTCGGACGTGGGGTTCTCATATTCGATGATAGATGGCGTGAACGATAGACAATTTCTTGAAAATTTTCAAAATGCGTTTCGAATCTTATTCACCTTTTTCAATTGTAATCCAGCAAGCGTGAATTGTAATTCAGATTTCTCGAATGAAATTCAGAAAGTGTCAATTGTAATTGAGAATAGGTAATTGAAATTCAGAAAATATCAATTGTAATTCAGATGAGCCAAGTGAAATTCAGAAAACTTCAGTTGTAAATCTGATTTTTCATTTGGAATTTGGAAAGCGTCGATTGAAATTCGGATATCGTCATTTGTAATTCAGAATGCAACAATTGTTATTCAGACTACGTTATTTGTAATTCAGATAAGTAAAATGAAATTCAGAAAATATCAATTGTAATTCGGATTAGGCAAGTGAAATTCAGAAAACTTCAATTGTAATTCAGATTATTCAAAAGGAAATCATGAAGCGTCAATTGAATGTGTCAATTGTAATTCAAACTGATGGATCTATGAAGGTATTCATGTAGAACCAGCGACTTCGGAATTGTGGAATTATTTTCTTTGATGGTCAATTGAATACAATTTCAATAGGTAAAATGGGGAAGTTATAATAGAAAACGTAATTTCCGAAAAAAATATTGCTTTGTAATTTATTACCTACATTCATTACGCTTGGCTCAACAACCAAAGGTAACACTGTTCCATATTTCTGAATTTCAAATGAAGCTTTCTGAATTTCAACTGACGCTTTCTGAATTTCAATTAACTAATCTGAATTACAAATGACGTAGTCTGAATTACAATTGACCAGTTCTGAATTACAAATGATACATTCTGAATCACAAATGACACTTTCTGAATTTCAATTGCCGCTTTCTGAATTTCAATTGCCGCTTTCTGAATTTCAATTGACGCTTTTTCAATTTCAATTGATCAATCTGAATTACAATTCACTCTTTCTGAATTTCAATTGACTAACCTGAATAACATTTGGAATTCTCTGAATTCCGATTAACTAAATTACAAATGATATTGTCCCAATTGCACTTGACGCTTCCTAAATTACAATTGGAAAAGGTGTAGACTTTCAAGAATATGTTTTCCTTCTTTCCCGGCCTGAAGATTCCCGTTGATGATGCACGAATTTAATAATATGAGAAACATCTACAGACAGGACGCAAAAGAGACAGGGCGCAACAAATAAGCCGTGCGGAAACATCTTGATCTTGACTTATCTGTCACGAGTTTCATGTTGTCGGCATATTCAAGATTTTGTTCAAATTTCAAATAGAAATATTATAAATTAGGAGCATTACTAATATATTAGGCGAGTATTGATATTATATTATTAGTTGAGTGAGTGTATTGTGCATTCATCATGGACTGACTAATGCAATTTGTGAGGATTATTTGAAGATCCGAACATTCGTTTTATTTTATGTATCAAAAGTGAGTAAATAAACTAACATCACAGGGTTTTCTTGAGTTAGGACTTCGTGCCGTACATGAATTCACGATTTAAACAAAAAATTGTGGAAATGAAATTGTGAACTCAAATGAATGTGTCAGGGTCAGGATGCCTGTAAATTTGGTTGAAAAATCTCGATTTTGAACACCATATATATCTGTAATCATTCACATCCATTTATGGAATGAGCTCTTCAGGAAGAATTTAAAAATGCAATGAAATACAAGATGTTTCATTTTCATTTGAATTATCAAAGTTTCTACTACTTTCTGGAATAAGCGGCAACCCTGCATTGCTGAAAATATTTTAGATCCATAGACTTGGTTTAGTTAACCAAATTTTCAGAATGATCCTATGTCCCTTTCTCCATAAACGTCTGAGGAACCATCAACCAGTTTTAAATATAGGTAAAAAATAGCGAAATAGATAAAATAACTATTTATGAACCTGTCACAGTTCACATAACTAGAACTACTCATTTTATTTCCTCATTATCAAGTACTATGTCTACTATTTTGGAATACATCAACTTCAAAATAATAATGTAGATATTCATGTGCAAATCTATTCAATCTATGAAACAAATTGCAACATCTATAGATCAAAAAGGACAATAATAGGAAACCAATTCACAATACAAGTGAAAATCAGAATTGTTTGGAGGAGTATGTTTAACAGTAAGGCAGGAAACGTTATTTCTATTTTTGTATGTCTCATCACCTTGCATGTTTTGATATAATAGAAACAAAAAATGTGTAGATTTGACAAAAATTTAAATTTTCTCCACCGGATATCAAGGTAATGGAATGGAAATAAATGATAATTCATAGTGAGATTGAAAATACTCTCAAGTTCATCTAGGGTTCATAGAAGATTCATTGAAGAGTCCATTATCACTCAATATCATAGAGATTTACTTAATAAAAAACTATTCAGGTTGTATTATATGCGTCTATCAAAACTACATAAAATATCACTGTTAGGGAAGCATCTACAATTATTTCAAGGTTATCTCCAAACACTAATCCAATCTCATATTTGCTTTAATTTATTGTATTTTGTATAATCATCACAGGTAATGAAACAAACCTAAGATGTTGATTTTTTGCCTTTGGGTTGCATGATGAATCAACCTCGGAATCAACTGATAACAATTTTCCAAATAAGATGCTTTTTAAGGTTCTACCAAATTGTGAATGTGGCTATCATGGAAGATACTTTCACAGGACAAATTAGGAAATACCTGGGGAAATACTTTCATGACAAGACGAATAATGCCTCTAAGTTTCATTTTCTCAATTTGTATACATGTATCAAAGAATTGTTGGATTTTTTTTAAATAGAAAACCCCATATTTCATTTGGACTTCATTGCATATATTAACATTTCTGAAAACAGGAGTGGAAATATAAGTATGATTTCCAAACATTCTTCCTGGTTTTTATTCAATTTTATTGAAATCAATATTATTTTCACCCTGGGCCCAATATTTTTTAGGCAAAATCCCATGCAATATCATTCTCTTTTGCTTGTTGAACAAAGTGCATCTATTAATCCTGTTACAACATGGCACTATGTCCTTCTGATTTTATAATATGATCTTTATATTATATTCCTTGGAATAATTAATGAAGATGAATCAAATATAATAATCAGCAATGAAACTCAATTTTCAACATACTTTTCAACTGGCCTTCAACTGTGATATTTTTGATTTTTCTGAAACTGTTGGATAGAATAGGCTTTTTTAGAAACAGGTATATGTGAAATGTATTAAAAATATTTGAGAAAATAAAAAAGGTTTTAATATTGGGTTTTCATCATGGTTTCTTGAGACTTATTTTGATTTTTTTACTTCAGTTCTGCCAACTTAAAATATTAACCAATTTTGAAATAACTAATTTTATTATGGTTCAAGTGTATGGCTCATGAAAACTAGATATACTTGTACATGAAATGGCTTACAGCTGTTATTTTTAAATAGATTTAGCACAACACTCATTCAACCTACTTACTAAAAATTAATAATCATTGGTATGAGTGAACAAGGAACCAACTGTGGAGCACACATTGGCACAAACTATTAAAATTCTGTTAATATTGAACAAGGGGAAGTATGTGCCTAGAAATAAGTACCCTCATTGCCAGTTTTAGCATTGCAGTAAATAGTATGTCATGAGTAATTTAAAAAAATATTGTTTCCATACTGAAGAAAATCCATCAGGTATTTAAATGATGCCATCAAGTCAGCAGATCTCTCAGCAGATAGTCTGAACTATGTCTTAGTCAAGAACAGGAATAACATGTTTTGATGGTCCAACAGATCACCTATTGATATGTGTTTAAGCTTATTATGGTACTATTGAAAGATTTTAAGAAGACATCCATAAAATCATATCATAAGAGATATATTGTTCTTAACATAAGTGTTCAATGGTGCAGTTGTTTGGGACAAGGAACTGAACAGATCTGATTAATTGTTGTGTAAGACAAGAAACTGATCAAATCTGATTAATTGCTATGTAATACAGGGAACTGAACATATCATTGATTTAAGGTCTATTTTCATGTACTTTCAAAGTATTCTTGAAATTGGAGATAGGTAGGTACAGAGGTAGCTAGATGACTTGAAGACAGCTTAGTACTTATCAAGATATCCCAACCTAATATATTCATGATTCATACCAACATTTTTCAAAATGTTTGTTTTCAGATTGATTGGAATCTGGATTGGAATAATGTGTAGTTTGTACTCACCATTGGGTCCATATTTCTCCTGATTCCTCTTGACTTGATCAAGAGTGAGTCCTCGTTCTGGATCAGAATCGAAATATTTCAGTACTTCCTCTACTGTTCTAGTATGACCGTCATCCATGGTTCCAGACAGTCACTATCTGGAAAAAAGAACATTATTCAAGTGATTTTCAGAATTCCATACAAGGAAAGATGATAGATTGTTGACAGTTCCAATTTTAATAAGTTCAAGTATGCAGGTCCATTCATCATATTGTATCTTTATAGGGAATAAGAATTTAGGTATGTACCTGCACTTGAAATGATTTATAATATTATCAAATTTGTGATGATCCTTCAACTTCTTTTAACTGTATAATACACAAAAATTGATGAATCTGTCATAAGAAACATGTGAAAAAGTACATATTCATATAGGTAGTTATATGATAGGTATACATTATATAATTTGAAAAAAAATTTAAAGTTGATCAGATGTTGACGAGTTGACTATCCAGACATATGTTTCTTTCAACATCTGGTAATACCTAATACAAGCCTATTCTAGAAAAATGAGAATAAACATGTGTAATGAGTCAAATTAATTATAACCTCAAAAGTTCGACGAAGTTGCACTGTCACAGTCTACACGATTGCAGAATGCAGACAGCTCTTTTTCAAAATAAAGACCTCAAAACAGTCAAAACATTCATTGTTCAATCAGACACAGATATTTCCTATTTCTTCAAGCAGATAATTTTCTTCAAATTTCACACGATCACTAATCAAATCACTATTCACTACACAATCTGCCTGCTCTATTCGCTTTATTTTATTTCATCCAGGTACCTACTCCGGCAAACTAGCGCCTAGATGGCGATGGCTAGCGCGACAGCGCCACGTTCCAAATATATTTCGCTCCCCAGGTGGCATGCGCGTACCTACATCTATTGTAAAATTCGAATAATGAACTTTTCAGTGTAGATATAACCTCATGAAATCAACTGAAATTATTTAATTCTCTATTATAATAAATAACAAGGTAAGTGTGTACCACGTACCACGTCATACAGTGAATAATATAATTCGAAAAAGCATTCCAGAATTGTACGCACGAAAGTATGTGGAGGAACCTTATTGGTCTGTTGCTGTTAGGTATAGTAATCACGTGACCCTGAGAGCGCAAACTTTTAAAATAGCCGAGCGCTATACAATATATGATGATTATAATTATTAGAAATAAATCGGAGATATTATTTTAGAATGCGTCATTAGTGCAAAGTTGTTTTATTTTAGAACTGCCTCAAGGAATAGCCCGGTATTGGGCCGAATGCCAATCAGCCAGCGACGATTTTAGCACACCATATCGTCTCTTATTCTTAATAATTTTTGGCAACATTATTTTCAGCGCTCACCACAAAAACTGAACTTTTGTGAAATTTTCACAGTTATGTAACAATGAAATCTGCCCTCTCATAACCCTTTTGAACCTATATAGAATCACAATAAACTTAAGTTCTTATATATTGGTATTATTTCAATCAATATTATTGTAGAATGAGGTGTATTAACATTTTTTTTATGTTCTAGGTATAATGGGACGTCTAATAGGTAAAAAGGACCTCTATTTTTATCATAAACAATGATAATAATAATACAAAAAATGATATGATTAGAATTTTGGTCGTACTTATAATATGATTAATTTAATATATAGGTATAGATATATGGCTATTTATTTTCATTTTTATCTCTCTCGTCAGACATAAAATGTTTTTGGCCTAATTGAAATACGAGGGACATATCAGAGATAAATTATGATAATATATATTATAATAGAGGGAATTAATATATGAATTGGATTAATTTTCTTGAAAAAATATTAGTTATAAAGTAGGAAATATATAATGTAATGTATATAGTAGGTAGGTAATATCCTCTGCGCTTATATCCGGTCATTTCACTGCACTGCACTGTATAAACTTACCGGTTGTCACAAAAATATTGGTCCTGTACCCTTATCACTTGGTTGAAAGGACCCTATGTGAAAAAGAAAAAACCAACTACACGAAAATCGTTAGGCCCCCATATGTAAAGAGCACAATGTACAGTTTCACTAAGCAGGACTGTATATAAACGGGCACCGTTTCCAGAACGTCCAAGCTTTTATAAGTTCGGTGACTACCTGTCGCGGGGACTCCGTCGTGGGCATTCTGCCAAACCGGGACTTTAGTTTCTGCTTCCCCTAAGTGCCCTGAAATCCGTCATTTAGATTTTCAACTGAAACCATAGACGCAAAAATTGAAGATAAAATCAGTTACAATCTCGGTTATAATCAAAAAGCCGAAATGATATTGAAGAAATATATTTAAAAAAATAATTGGAGATGCCGGGGATCGAACCCGGGGCCTTTCACATGCAAAGCGAACGCTCTACCACTGAGCTACATCCCCTATATATAACACTGGTCAAAAATCTAATCTACACATGAATCAAAATATTATTATCATTTTTGTTATTCACAATGAATTATTTCTCCTAAAGGGGCTATATACAAACTATTGTCACTAGAGAAACGAATAGAAATTGGTTTGTCTATGACTCTACCCGTCTACCAGTGTTTTAAATTTAACCACAGTAATATGGGTAAGTTGTGGTTTAACTAGATGGTCATCCAACATCCAACCGATTCCATATCGATCATGATGGATATTGGGATATTGACCCCCCCTAATTATTATTGGACCATTTTCAGAGAAAATTAAAAATCAACGGAAATTTCGGTTTGTGAATTAAAAAATGGCTAACGGCGTCCAATCCAAAAGACTATAAAGTGTGGAATGTGGATGAGACAAAACAATGAGAAGAAACACAAGAAGAAGCGCCTATGAATCTTGTCAATTGTCATTTGTCAGTTATCACCTCGTCAGCTGTGAGCTGTGTTGTGCTGCTCTGTTTACAAAATATCAGCTCTAACCTCACAATTAAGAATTTTTACGAATTTTTCAAATAATATGTGCGAAATAACTACAGACAATTTCGAAGACAAGTTTCCTGAAATCAAAAATGCTTTAGAAAAATCTAAATTTATAAGCATTGATCTTGAATTTAGTGCTTTATATCCATTGAAAAATCATGCTCCAAGGTAAGAAAAATGACCGGCTTTAGGCAAATAGATAGTTATTTATAAGAATATCTGCAAACGTTTGTTTATATTTTAGCTTATTTGATTCTCCTGTGGAAAGGTACAGCAAATTAAGGAGAAATATTGAGCATGTAATACCCATTCAAGTTGGACTCACAGCTTTCAGCTTTGATGGAGACAGAAATAGTTATCTTGGTACTATATTCAATTTTTATGTAGTACCTGCATCGTTCCCGTCTATTCAAAAAACTTTCATGTTTCAGTCTGATACAATAAGTTTTTTGAGGTTCTATGATTTTGATTTTAATAAGGTAAGTATGTCAACTAAGCCTGATTTCTATTGTAGATGTTTGAAGTACCAATGTCAGCCTTAATTCAATAATGAAAAGTGCATTTCCAAGAATATAATTTTCATTATGTTCTATAAACTACAAGCCCTGGGGCTTCCTTTGACAAAAGACTACACATGTTTTATAGGGGAAATTGGCTGGTGTTCAGCTTTGAATAGTTGTCACAACTCTTGTCTTAAGAGTTCTGCATGAACAGATAATACTTTTGTGGATTTTTATCTGAATACTACTTTAATATGATATTTAAATTTCCCTAACAAAGGGGTTGCGCAATAATTGCGGTCCCCATTCAACTTTTTTATTTTTTCTAAAACATTTTTCAATAATATAAATACCTATGTAGAAATAACTTTTTTTCCTCCAGAACAGTGCTCCTATGTAACAATAACGCTGATGATGAAGCTTTGAAGCTTTGAAACATGTCCCTGTAAGATTGCTTACATAAGTATAGCTTTGGTGGAGTAGACTGTAAGAATTTTGTCCTGTCCTACTGTCAGAAGAAGTTTTTTAAATTCTTTAGGGTAGTTCTCATTAGTGCTTTTGATAGAAATCGCCGTTTCCATCAAATATTATTCCAACAATTCATAATAAATAATATGATGTATATATACAGAGATGTAACGATTTTGATTATTACACTGCCAGCGACAGAGATAATGGAAAAAGCTGCGAAAATTGGATTTGTTTCCGGAAATTCTTAAGTATGAATTGGCATGCATGGAAAATTTATGGAATTTAAAAAAATACAGAAATGAAATCTTTTTCGGAAAGTGTACTTTTTTGAAATACTTTCAGGAACTACATTACTTGGATTCTTTCTCGGATTCTTTGGATAAGTGCAGTTGTAGAAAAAGTATAGTGTGCAACATGTGGGGAAAAGTACTTTTCTCACTCGTGTGTTTGCATAACTCGACCTTCAGGCTCGTGCTACAAACTTTCACACTCGTGAGAAAAGTTGAACTTTCCTCACTTGTTACACAATATACTATTTTCTACTACTACTATGAAAAGTAGCGCATTTCTCATAGCTTACTTAGTTTGATAACCATGTATTGCTCATACTGTGAGAAATATTTACATTTCCATGGAGAATCAACAAAAATCGACCAAAACCTCGACCAAAACTTAATTGACTGCTGTTCAGCTTTGAATAGTTGTCATAACTGTCAGAAGAAGTCTTTTAAAATTCTTTTGGGTAGTTCTCAAGGCTCAAGTTTCGTTTAGCTGAAATCAGTTATGAAAAAACTGTTGCTATGGCAACGATCGTCATAGTAAGGAGCTCGGTAAGGAGTAAACAAAAACCCGATTCCCGTGGTGAGGAAATGCGTGGTTGCCAAGTTGTATCGGGTTTAGTATAGCTGAAATCAGTTGTGGAAAAACTGTTGCAATGGCAACGATCGTCATGATAACGAGTAAACAAAAACCCGATTCCCGTGGTGAAGAAATGCGTGGTTGCCAAATTGTATCGGGTTTAGTATAGCTGAAATCGGTTATGGAAAAACTGTTGCCATGGCAACGATCGTCATGGTAAGGAGTAAACAAAACCCCGATTCCCGTGGTGAGGAAATGCGTGGTTGACAAGTTGTATAGGGTTTAGTTTGGCTGAAATCAGTTATGGAAAAACTATTGCCATGGCAACGATCGTCATTAACGAGTAAACAAAAATCCTATATCCGTGGTGAGGAAATGCGTGATTGCCAAGTTGTATCGGAGAATTATTGTTTCATTCATTAATTTCAAAAACACTCTTCAATGTAACCATCCTTCGCGTGCCGGAGCTATTCGACAAAATAAAAAAGAAACAGAGACATTTTGGAATTAATATTCATTATGAGGTATCGCGCAGGATATAGGAACAGAGACTACAGGTACTGATTGTCTAATACAGATGGAAACATCTCGTTAGGCCCACCCACATTTCCATTTGCCTTCATTTCGATTCACCCATACCTTTCTTCACGCGCACATTTTGATTCAGCAACAGTCTTCAAACATACACGAACGATGCCATGCTACCAAATCTAAACGATGTTGGAAAATATATGTTTTTCAAGAAGAAGGTTGATTTGAGTCGAGTTAGGTTAGATTGTTTGGAAAAAGTAGTGTCCTTTTTTATGCAGTCCCCAAACACACACGAACGATGCCTTGCTACCAAATCTGATCGATGTTGAAAATATAAATATTTTCTAAGAAGGTTCATTTAAGCCGAGTGGGGTTAGATTGTTTAGAAAAAGATAACAAAGCCTATTTGTTCCTGACGTTATTCCCATAATATATGATCGTCAGAGAAGTAGTAATTTGGGAATTAATCAACGACGAACAGTCTTCAAGAAATTGATAAGAAGGGTATTTATTCCAATCAAGTTATTGTTTGAATACTAGCAAGAAAGAAGTTTAGTCACATTTTCATGAAATCCACGTAGAATGTGTCATCAATCAATCATTCCAGCCATTGGTAGGAGTATCTTGACCAATAACCCTTTGAATCATGTGTTTTGGTTCAATAAAAGATTTGAACAATTTGAATGGAACTTTAACGCTGGACCAACCTGACTATCCATGTTTATCTCATCTTTTCAGCAGTAAAACACTAAATATCTCCTATAGGCGCCACTGGAATTGAGAACTGTTGCATTAGTTTCATCTTCATGAACATTGGTATTTTCCGGAAAATGAAAGTATTTGAACAATTCTAGATGCACTAAAGATCGAAAAATAATTGTGGGTCACCAATCTGGCGGTTTTATCAGACTAAAATAAAACTTTGAGATACTAGAAAACTTCCTCTCATTGGAGCTTGTACTCATTGTATGAGTATTTCATGGTGATGCCTTTTATTTTGGCAAATTTACCACACCACAATGAAAAACTTCTCAGAATCGTTAATTCACTTTTTAATATTTCCAGTTTGCTTATTCAGGAGTTCCTTTTATCAACAGAACACAAGAAGAAGACTTGAGAAAAAGGCTAAAAAATAATGACATAACAGATATTCATAGTAATTTCAAATCTGAACTAGAACACATCCACAGGGTTGAAGGAGAACAAATACAAAATTGGTATAGCAAAGCAAAAGAGGGTGATGAACTGTCCATACCTACAATTTATGACAAATTCAAGAACAACTATGAAATACTTTATTTTTTGCATAAAAACTATAGAAGAAGGTTTCATGATTTATGGACTGCAGTTGAGAATGGAGCATTTGTGATTAGAAAACTTCCCACGGCAGAAATCAGGAAATTAGAAATTACCCAAAGCATTGAAGAAGAACTTATATCAAATCTTCTTGGTTTCACCAAAGTTTTCAGATTATTAACAACTCTTGGTAAACCCATAATTGGTCACAACTCAGTTCAAGATATACTATTATTGATCGAAAGTTTTGAAGCTCCTCTACCTCATTCCTATAGGCAATTCAAAAAGCTTACCACAAGCTTATTTCCGACTATCTTTGATACCAAGCATATTGCTTACGAACTAAAATCTTCAGTTCAGGAAGACAAGCAATGGAATGATAAAGGTTTAGAATCATTGTTTGACTACTTCAAAAATGGCACCGGTAGGCACCTAGCTGTGAATTCTCCTGCCATAGAAGTCCAGGATGACAAGTCTTTTGGGAAGTACCATGAGGCTGGATGGGACTCATTTTGTTCTGGATATATTTTCATCAGACTAGCATATCTCAATGTCTATCGAAAATATCCCAAATCCAAGAATTTTGTTAGCTGTGAGCTCATTGCTGGACTTTCAGAGTACAAAAATAAAGTTAATGTGATAAGAGGATCAGTGTCTTATATGGTAAGTTGACATTTATAATTTCTCTATTTCAACATAGGTAGAAGCTCAAAAAGAGGTTTCAGTAGGAATTCAATTATAGTAAATTGATTTGAATGGAACCTATTGTATCATTTCAGTTCCTCAATGCTCTAATATGGAACGACTGAAATATTATTTGAAAAATACTAGAATGAGATTAGCTGAATAAAATAGAAAATACCGATTAACTGAAATATTAAAAAGGCAGATGATGGTCGTTCGAACCATTAATTATTCTTGACTAACTTTATTCCACTAAAGTTGGTGGAAACATGTTTTGTTACAGGGAAGCATTATGTAGTATCAATAATGTTCACATCCATAACATTGTTAAGTTAAATAAAACACAATTAGTTACACAAAATGATAAAAAATAAGTCGATAGTAGCTCAATTCCTTCATTCTTGTGGAAAATTACTATCATTCCGTGCTCGTTAAACAATATACTTTAGCAATTTTCTAGTGAAATGAATTCGTGAAAAACAGAAATTGTGCTACTATGGACTTATTTTTTATAATTTTGTGTAACTTTAGTACATTCATTGTGTAACAAGAGTGAATTAATTGTGTTTTATTAAACCTAACAATGTTATGGATGTGAATTTTATTGATACTACATACTGCTTCGAGGTCCTTGTAATAAAATATGTTTCCACCACTTTTAGTGCCATGAAGTTAGTCAAGAGCTCGGTCAAGAATAATGGTTTGAACTATAGTTTATCCAAAAACAATTGCTGAGTCTCATGCCGCACCTGCAGTCAGTTCAAAGGAAACTTCAAACATGCCGACGCCGCACAGTGCGGGATATTCTGCAATTGATATTGGATAAACTATACCACCAGCTGCTTTATTAGTATTTTGCGTAGGTAACTAAAGTCGGTATTTTGTATTTTATTCAGCATAATTTTAAAAGGTATTTTTTCTCTCTAGCTTCAATTGAAGACTTCGGCGCAAAAAGGGGGCAGCTCCACTTTTACTCAATTTTTACTTTTATAATGAAAACCAGTAACAAGAAGGTGCTTTATCGATTGGTCCAAGGACGAGGCACGTCCGTTGATTTGTTTGGATGTCATACGGGATATATTTATACCTCCTTCATTTGGTCAGTGCATAGATTTAATCTATGGTCAGCGCAAGAAAGAGGCAGCTCCGGAACTGCCTCGTACGAATTTTCCTGTCGTCAGTAATTTCCAAAGTGATGGATGAAGGCAATGATCAACTGGAAATTCACTTGCCTACGTCACCCTTATTTTTGTATATCGCTATTTCGAAGTTGGGAACCAACTCCCCAGAAGTCGAAACATCTGCGGGGTTAGGAAGAGCGAGACTCACAGATCATAGTGGAATCCGAATGAAAATACGGCAAGCTCCACTAAAAAACACGGGTAAATTTTTAGCTGTGGCGTTGGATATATCAAAGGCAATCGACCGTGTTTGGCATCGAGAACTCTTCCACAAACTACCATCATGAACGGAGTATCGTCCGATACCATTGCCATCAATTCGGGCGTTTCACAAGGATCAATTTTGGCACCAACATTGTTCCTACTTCATATCAGTGATCTATTGGGAGCAACCACTTGCCACAACTTTGCAGACTGCGTTCTTTTCTAGAATCCCTATTTCTTCCCAGGAAACTAAGAACTTACGACAACGAAGACGGGTCAACGCTGTCGATGACGATCTTGCTGAAATTACAGCATGGGGAACCAACAGCCTAGTTGAATTCAACGCAACCAGAAAGTAGGAACTCGGAATGCCTGATACTCAGATAACAATGTCTGGTACCACCATTCCCTCCAAGACCACTATATCTATGTTTTGTGTTTTCATCCATCATTCATTCATTCCATCACTAGCAATGCCAATCAGACGATCTCGACGGGCTCCGTCAGCACATCCTTTCGTTGTCAACCTTGAAATATGTCGAACAACACATTACCAAAACTCGTTCGTTAGAACGGCTAAGCTTATTTGAAATTATTTGCCAATGGAAGTACCTATTCGCAAGAACTTATAACCTCCAAAAGTTGAAAAAATCCAACATCTACCTCTCCCTATCCTCTCTTGCTACGCACAATGTCTAAGAACATCATCGGAATCTCCATTCGGGAGCTCCAAAAGATAAAAAAACGTATGTCTAATGATAGGTCTCATGGTAAAATATATCACAAAAATATGGAATGTCAATATTCTATTCAGATATACTTATTTTATATTCAACACACTCATTTGTTGACTATTTAAATGTAGAATAAATGCACCCTTCAATCGAGTTTCATGCATCCAGATATGTTTCAAAATAATTATAATGTAATAATCTGATAAAAGTGTGATGATATTGATATTTGTAGAGGATTTTGTTTACTTTACTTTCATTGAGCACATGCCAATACTTGCTTCGCGAGATTCACGAAGTGGGCGAGATCTAGGTTACATAATACGAACTTCAAACTGGGGGAAAACAAACTGTTGTCTATGGATAAAGTGCATAGACTACATTGCATTCAGCTAGCTGTAGCTGTAGTCAAACTTGTCAATAAGATAAAGTGTTGGCACTGTTGGTATTGATGATGGTTGAGTTGGTTAATTTTTTTACATTATTACATTTTTATTAGTTTAGTGAACAGTGAACGGGTGAAGAATTGGAGATAGTTCAAACAAATCAAACTAATTATGACGAGCAAATCAATTGACATATAAAAGAACAGCTACAACATATTTACAATACCCAGATTGTCCTGCTTTGCAGGAACAAATACAAATCCATTGTTCTACAGGAGTTCCTCTGGACCCCAACTTCAATTTTACTTCCTGTGGGGAAGATTTTATCGCCGAAGTTTGTAGACAAAGTGCAAAAATGTGCCTTTTGTTGAAGTCCTCTGCCTCACACAAAATCACATGATTAGCACGGAGAACTGCTTCTCCTTCCACTACTGGTCGGCTTTTTCCATCTAAATAGAGCAAAATATCTGCCAAAACAACATCTACAACAGGCATTATTAGCGTTTTCGATCGAATATTGACAATTAATGTCAAGAAATTCGAAAACTTATCACTCTTATCAGTACACAGTACACATCAATAAGCTAATGGCACTTATGGGATTGAGTGAGGATTGAGTTTGTTTTCCCCCAGTTTTGACGTGGCTTTGACATGGAACGATGAAAACCGAGCGCCACCTGGTAACATTGATTCCCGCGAATAGGGAAATACCTTTTTAATATATCTATCAAAATAGTACATGGGCTTGAATTCTACTCATGTAAAATGCGTCTAGCGTACTTTTGTTAGTAATCTCTTGATCATGTTACAATAGGTTCCAATCATCAATACTATATGTTATAAATAAAACTTTCTACTTTTATGATACTTATTTCATGTGATCAACTGAATTTTTTCTTAATTTCTAGAGACTTGATGATGCCGACCCAGTGTCGAATAGACCGCCATTCTTAGTGATAGAATCTGTCGACAATAAACCTGTTAGCATACCACAGGTAAGATTGGAACTTTTTTATTTTTGTGCTGGCTGGAATATCACCCTAATTTTCTCGAGGTTGGTAGAACAAATGAAAATTTTGGAAGGTTGCCTCGATCAGAAAACAGATTAAGTGGTCATTCCATCGAAAATTTTATTTAGGAATCTCTATTCTATAACTAACTTCAAGGAGATTCATCATTCCATTTGTAATCTAGAACTATTGTACATTGCCGTCTGTGAACTCAGATAAAATTTTTTATATGATTACTTCATGAATTTTACTACTTCACCTCACTGCGATTTCTGATCGTGGCACCCTTCCTTTATGAATAATCATCAGTTCCACCAACCTTGGATCCTCCAATATTTGTCTTTTCACATTTATCACAACGCTATCAGGGAATCATAAGGTGTTTTCTATTGTTAGCAGGACCATCGTTGTTCTAAATAATGGAAAACCTAGTAGGCGAGTATACGCCTACGCCTACTATTTTTTTGATTTAGAATGTTAATAATGGCAAGACGATAATAATATCTTTTGTGACATGCCTATCATATGAGATTCCTACAGAAATCATTTTTTTCAGTTCAATGGTGTTTTGTATTGAACCATATACTCAGAACGTTTTGAAATCATGTATTCTCTTGATGAAACTGTAACGTCATCAATAAATTCAATTGACTCTGGTTCGAATGATTCTGAAAGATTGATTTGAAATCGAAAAAATACATGAATTGATGTTTTGAAATTGGATATCGAATTTTTCTTGATTAGTTAACAGCACACAAGCTAATAAATAACATCAAGAATGTCAATTTGATATTTGAAAGTACCATAAATCTGGTAAGGTTAATATTCACATCGATGGTCTTGTCTTGAGTGTAGACAAGGAAGTAGCACAAAAATAATAGTTTTTCTTTTCTGTATTCACTACAAGGTTTATCAACAGTTGCTTGTGTCTCAGCTAAATGGAAGATTCTTGTCTAAAACGGTACCAAAATAGCTGTAAATAGTTATTTATGAACCAAGGACGAAACACACAGGGTGTTCCATTTGAAATATCAATGTTGCTACTACTTTCTAGTAGAAGGGGCAACACTGCATTGTCGGAAATATTTGTAATGAAGAAAGCGTATTCTAAAATATAAGCATGCACATCTTCATGGATTTCTCCCGACTGATTCTCGATATAAAGATAGTGTGAACTCTTCGTGATTTACCCTGTATACAGGGTGGGCCACCAGTAACGCCTCGGTCTCTAGAAGGCTAACCACTTATCTTCTTGGAATTCTTCCTCTCTAGGAAGTTGCATGTCAACATAGGCTACCATTTAAATTTATTTCGAAACATACAGGGTGTCCCCAAAAACCATAAAACACTGAAGTTAAACTTTTTTCTATCGAACACCCTATATATTATTTCATCTTGAGATTCTCCCTGATGAGCTGATTTCAACGACCCATCATACTTGGGGTCTAGCAGTTATAATTACTGAAATATAGGGTGTGAAAAATCGAGATTTTCCAAGTTCAAGAATTTTTTGTGTCGAAACTATTCATAATTAGTCAAAACGGCTCACATGTCCCTATCTCAACTTTTGATTAACTATCTACTGATATTTAATTGGGACATATACCGGTTGATCAAGATTCTGAATTCTGCACCACCCTGTATTTGTTTCAATTAAATGTCAGTAGATAGTTGATCAAAAGTTGAGATAGGGACATGTGAGCCGTTTTGACCAATTATGAATGGTTTAGACACAAAAAATTCTTGAACTTGGAAAATCTCGATTTCTCACACCCTATATCTCAGTAATTATAACTGCTAGACCCCAAGTATGATGGAGTGTTGAAATCAGCTCACCAGGGAGAATCTCAAAATGAAATAATATATAGGGTGTTCGATTGAAAAAAGTTCAACTTCAGTGTTTTGTGATTTTTGGGGACATCCTGTATGTTTCAAAATAATTTCAAATGGTAGCCTATGTTGACATGCAACTTCCTAGAGAGGAAGAATTCCAAGAAGATAGGTGGTTAGCCTTCTAGAGACCGAGGCGTTACTGGTGGCCCACCCATAGTTCCGGTGGCAATGCAATTTGTCACTTCAAAATGGCGCCTTCAAGATGGCGAACGAATTAGTCATTTCTCGTTCGATTCCACTGAAAATTTAGGTCGAAGAGTTTTATGAGTTAAAGAATAAAATTTTTAAAAAATTAAATTTCGAGATGGCGGATAACTAGTCTTTTCTCGTCTGATTCGTTAAAGAATGTCAATTTGAGGATTTTTGTAGTTGAGGAAAACGAAATACCGTTCATAATTCGGAAATTCAGAATTTTCTTTGATTTCAAATATACTTACTAATAAAACTGAAAAGCAGAGAATAATAAATGTAATTGAGGATATATGCAAGATTAGATTAGAGGTCAAAATATCGTAAGTGTCGCGAATAGTTTCGGCGGATCCTAAATCGCGTTTCTAAAAATATCGGTACGATATATTCTCTCCAGCAAAATTAAATTTATATTTTAAATACCAACATACATACATATTTTGCACAACACAATACATCTAAGGCACAGTATCCGTAATTTTTCATTAAAATTGTTCAGACTTCTGACATCTGACATTATTTGTTTGCCATTTATTTGCTATACAAGGTACCTATTTGTTATGACTGAAATATTTGAGGAGTGAAAATTCACCGAAAGATATCAGTATAATAGTTTAATCCAATAGGCAAGAACACAATCGCATGAATTCCATTTAAATCTGCATAAAACTGTAATATAATAGTGACATAGGTAACATGAATGCATCGTTTTATGGCAAGATATCCTATGATACTTCAAAGAACATCATTTGACCTCATGCCTATCACAAGACCCTCGTTGATTGGTGCACAAATACAAGTCAATGATCAATGACATAAATATATATCTTGGATTTCATTCGATATTCATTTCGATATTCGACGTTTGGTCTTGAAATTGAGATTGAGTCAATATTTTTTATCGAATAGAAGATTTATAAGAATTTCTCCAGATTCAACTTATTCTGAAATCAATAGTTGAACCTTCAACAATATATTTGAAAACAATAATTTTTTTTTTGCAAATATTGTGTATATAGTTTCAGTAGAAAATATACTGTTATACTTCCGGTTGAGTACTTCAGAGTTATTTACTGTCTGAATAGGTTCAGAAAATGATATTCAAGCTAAAATTCTTACAGTAGAAAACCTCTTTTGGCAAACGAACGTTGCAAAATTCTATATCCAATACTCTAGACGGGTTCCCTACTAAGTGTAACAATAAAACCAATATTTTTCTGAAGGATATCTGCATGATCCGTGAAAAACTGCATCCATTTCAATGAAATGAAATATAAAAATTAACTAGAAAATTTTACACCCATCATTTTCGACCAATTAAAAGCCTGTATTTTGTATCGTTACCATAGCGACTGAACAAATTTCTTGAAATTTTCTTCTCCTCTTTGGCGGAAGGAGCATGAAATTACACTGAAGTTTCTTTGGCGTTCATAGATAACATGACAGGTTTTTTTGTAAGGAAATATATTTATATTACCAAATTTAGCTAAATGAATTTGTGAAAAATTGAGGAATTTAGCTTTCGACTTATTTTTTATTATTTCTTCAACCAAAGTCATTTAATCAGATTTTATGAAACCTAATAATATTACGTGAGCAAATTTCATTGATACTAAATAGTACTTCGAGTTTCTTGTGAGAAAATATATTTCTTTCAACTTTAGTCAAATGAATTTGTGGAAAAGTGAGAAATTGACATACTATCGATTTATTTTTTATTTTTTTCTGTAACTATAAAGTAAGTTAATTCGTTATGTGTTCTTCCACCTAACAGTGTAATGTATATGAATTATATTAATACACTTTGTCGAGTTCCTTATAAGAAAATATATTTACACCAACTTTAGTGGAATAAAGTTCTCAAGAATAATAGTTTGAACTACCACAAGCTGTCTCATGAATGTTTTGCGTAACTCGAGTTGGTATTTTGAGGTTAAGAATTCTCGACAAATTCACAACAGTCAGTAGTTGGCCGGATTATGGCCGAAATATCCTGTTGAGTTAATAATAACCGACTATTCATTATTCCAGATTTTTTGGGATCTTCTCTCCTCGTTTCTATAAAATGAAAATATGAATATTATTTCAATATACGTGTAGTAGGGAAAAATCAGATGATTTGCCCCAAAATGCTGCTGCGTTTAAAGAATTTTACTATCAGAGATCCTAACAGAAAAATTCACTAGCTTTTTAGTGACAATTTGTATTGAAAAAAGGTTGGAGAAGAGAAATTAAGGTATATAGAAAAATATCATATTTTTAGTTAGCTCTGGACGTTTCGGAAACGAATCTGCTCCCGTTTTCAACACAAAAATGGATTTTTTGTATCGCAAATTCGTGTCAGTCCTGTCTGTATCGAAACTACTTATTACTTTTCAGTTCTAAGTGACAATTGGTGACGTTGGCAATCAAATGAGGTAGAGGATGTTTTCATTAATTAATCTTGAATTTACCATTTTCATTTTCAGATTTCAATAGTGAATACAGGAAGCAATTCTACTGTCTCCGTTCAGAAGAATGCAAGCAGATTCCTTGATTTCTCTCTTCTGGGTTATATTATTTTCCAATGATTTTAATATTATTCCACTCTGCCATATGTTGTCCATCGTCATCGTCAGTGAGGATAATTATGTTCAGCTAGTTTCGATTTGTCGATGTGTCTTTTCTTTATATTATATTTATCTTCCTTATTCCTTACTGAAAGAGGTCTATTGGTTTCACCTGTATAAAACTTTCCACAAACAGAAGGTATACTGTAAATACAATTTTTTGACGATTGTTCTTCATTTTTCGGTTTTATTTGAGTTGAATTGATCTCATTGTATTTTCAGTTTTGAACACAGTTTTCACTTGAAATTTATCACCAACACGTTTTATTTTTTCAGATATGCCGGGAATGTATGGTATTATATTCATTTCTCTCCTCCAAACTTGTTTCAATACAAATTGTCTCTGACAAGCTAGTGAATTTTTCTTTTAGGATCTCTGATATTACTTTATTCCTTTCTTCGTTGACAGCTGCTCTATTTCAAGGAAATATCAAGTAAATATTTTTTGATTCTCAAATCGATAGAGATGGTGATTGGTGGATTCAGAATTTATATCTGAAATTGTCCAATTATCACTCAACACTCTTAAGTTGAGTCATGAGTCGATCGGGAGGATTTACTTGGGAATATATTTTGGGAAAATAAATAAGAAACTGACCAGATTTCTATACATTCCTCAATTTTCCCAATTATTACCTAAAACTCAACCTTTGATATTCTGTTCGGTTTGTTACTTTTCCTGTCGCCAGTAAAGATATGTAATTGGCCAACTTCAACATCGTGAATTGATACACGACTTTTTTGACTTGACTGGACTGAAAACAGAAAAAAAAAACTGCATTCCTCGTTCTTGGAATATAACAGATATACTATTATGATACTTGAAGTTGATCTCTTATTAACTGTTTCTAGGTTTCATCAATTTTGAGTTCCTTTGGATTCGTTGAAATCAGGAAATTTCCATATCAAAGAAAAAGGGCTTTGGTGGCAGTCGATAATTTTGGCAAGTAAGTATAATGACGTTCAATTGTCGAATTAATTATAGTATATTGTTTAACAAGCAGGGCATGATACTAATTTTCCACGAGAATGAAGTGTGCATCTACAAATCATACGCCGTGCGAGTTATACACAATGTTTTTTCTACGGCTGCAACAGATGAAAGCGATTTTTTTATTTCTTTGGTTTGTAGCCATCTGATTTTCTCAAGTGATGATCTATTAGACAGAGCTGTTATTGCTTGAAATTCGATATTCCATGGCAGCTGACCTGTATTGTAAAATAATAACAAAATGAAGTCCATTTTACTGGACACACTCAATGATAATATTAATAATAATGATAATAATATTGGATTTTATTGACAGGTATCAGTGAGTACAAATATATACAAGAAAATAACTGTACTACGTACAGAGTGACTCACCATAAATTTACCACCCCTCTAGCTCACTCATTTTTGAACCGATTTCAAAATTTGAAAAATCATGTGGAATGATTTTTCAGTTTTTTTTCGCTACATATGAAAATACAGGGTGCTCGGAACATAAGATCTACAGGGTAGTACTTGATTTTTCCAAATGGGACACCCTGTATTTCATCGCATTATAAGATTCTCCCTGAATAGCTTATTTCACATCACATCATCACACTTGAGGTCTAGGGGGAATGATTACAGAGATATAATTATGTTGTTCAAATTCGAGATTTTTCAACTTCAGAATTTTTTATGTCTGATCTATTCATTATTGGTCAGAACAACTCACATTTCTCGGTTTTAACTTCTGATCGATTGACATTTAATTGGAACAATACAGGGGTGGTTCAAGATTCAGAATTCTGATCACCCTGTATCTGGTCCAGTTATCAAATGTCAGTAGATAGTACCTAAATCAAAAGCTGAGATAGGGACATGAAGGCCATTTTGACCAATAATGAATAGTTTCAACACACAACACCAAAATATTCTGAAGTTGAAAAATCTCGATTTTGAACACCCTATATCTCTGTAATACAGAGTGTTCCATTTAAAAAAATCAATTAGTACCCTGTAGATCGTTAGTTCCGAGCACACAAATGTATCAACATTTTCAAATTTTAGGATCGGTTCAAAGATAACAGCTAGAGGGGTGGGGCACATTCATGGGGAATCGCCCTGTACCTATCAAAAGGCAGAATTTATGTTGAAATCACGTCATGTGTGATAATCAGAACTTGCTCTTCTGGTTTTGTTATAAAATATTAAACAAATGACTTTTTTTGTTTTTGCTGGGCACGTATTACCACCGAAGTTCATGTTCGGTGGTATTACTACTCATCATTACAGATAATTTATTCAGCAAGAGTTTGGAAAAATCGATTGAATATTCTGATTTTCTTGGTTTATGCCAAAAGATCTCTCATCAAAAGAACTTTGACGCTCAGGAGGTCATTCATCACAATATTCTAATATGAATTGGCCAAATAAGTATACTGGGTGGCATTGAAATAAGTGCAAATATTTCAAACACTGAGAAAGCTCGACGGGTATTATCGAATGGCACTAATAAAAAAAATTTAGGGATCAAAATGAAATTTGAGGTTAGACACCTTTTTCCACCCAAAGTTCTACACTGTATAGCAAATCTGACGTCACCTCTGTTCAAATTTCCATGCGGTAGGCACAATCACGCGGAGTTCAATCATTTAAATTGTTTTAAAGTGGGTACTTGATATTTTTCTCGTATTTTGTTCAATTTTACACACATATTAATGTGCAGAATATGTGCCCTTATTTCAAAAACACCTTGTATATCCCAAACGCTTCGTTTTCAAGATTAAACGTGTTATAGTTTTATTCCAAAATTAGTGTTTCAAAACTGAACGTTCAACAGTCTAATTACCAAAACTACTTACTTAAACGTCAGATTCATTTCCATTTCATTCATTCTTGTGAAAAATGCAAAATAATGGTCAAAACTTCAACATGAATCGATGTTCAAATAATCGACTCGAAATTTTCAAGTCCAAGTATACAAGGTATGTCACGACGAGCTTACACTATATTTATATCGAGAATCAGTCGGAGAAATCCATGAAAATGTGCATGCTTATATTTCAGAATACGCTTTGAAATATTTTAAACAATGCAGTGTTGCCGCGTCTACTAGAAAGTAGTAGTAACATTGATATTTCAAATGGAACATCCTGTATTTCATCGCATTTTTAGATTCTTCCTGAAGAGCTGATTTCATCGATGTATTACACTTGGGGTCTATCGAAAATGATTACAGAGATATAGGGTGTTCAAAATCGAGATTTTTCAACTTGAGGATTTTTTTGTATCGAAACTATTTATTATAGGTCAAAACGGCTCACATGTCCTTATCCAATTTTTGATTCACTATTTATTGATATTTAATCGGAACAGATACAGGGTGGTTCAAGATTCAGAATTCTGATCACCCTGTATCTGTTCCAATTAAATACCAGTAAATAGTAAATCAAAAGTTGAGATAGGGACATGTGAGCCGTTTTGGCCGATTATGAATAGTTTCGACACAAACAAATCCTGAAGTTGAAAAATCTCGATTTTTAACACCCTATGTAATCATTTTCGATAGACCCTAAGTGTGATGTATCGATGAAATCAGCTCTTCAGGGAGAATCGAAAAATGCAATAAAATACAGAGTATTCTATTTGAAATAACAGAATTGTTGCTACTTTTTGATGGAAGCAGCAACACTGCATTGCTGAAAATACTTTGAATGAAGAGAGCGTGTTCTAAAATATAAGCATGGATTTCTCCCGACTGATTCTCGATATAGAGATAGTGTAAGCTCGTCGAGACATACCCTGTATAGAAAGGTTGCTTGTAGCGACTTCTAACCATATACGTATTAATAAACAATACGGATCATAACGGGTGCCAGGATGAAGCCAAAAATATGAAACAAATGAATATCCATAAGGATTTGGTGGCATGATACGCATGCGCCATGCGCTATTATAGTAGTCATCAAAGACATGCGTTTCGGTGGACAATGACGTTTACTAGCCTTCAATCAAAGCAGTATGTGTCTGATCGTTTCAAAACTTTTCCTTATGGATAGTCATTTGTCTTCAAAAATCGGCTTCATGTTTCGCTATGGAAACAGATAGAGATTATCCGTATTGATTATTAATACGTATATGCTTCTAACAAGGGTAGCTTTTCACTTAGATTTTAGAGGGGACTCGATTTTTTTTCAATTTATGAAAGAAGCATATGGGTATCAAATGTTTCAATGAAATACGAGACATAATAGATGTAAACTTGAATGATATTTCATTCAAAAATAAATTGAAGAACTTTCTTCTTGAAAATGCATTTTAAAGTGTGGAGGAGTTTTATAATTGTTGATGTTCAAATATTGTCAAAGTTTCTAATGTGTAGGTATGTATAATAAGTACGCACCCAAAAAAATATGAATCTTCAAAAAAGAAAAAGACGTGTAGGTGGCGCTCCTAGGACTAAGAGCAATAATATCATCAGGTTCGAATTCGACACTTCAAAAAACCTCTCAATGCCAATTTTTATTCAATCAAGGTCATTATTTCGAAAGTTATTTCGAAAAAAAAAAACAAAAAAATTAAACTTTCCACCCTGTATCTTGGAGACGATGAGTATATATTTATTAAATATATATACAGTGTGGTCATTCAAGTGTGCAACATATGGAGATTTTTTCAATGGATTGCACGACCAAAATACTGATAGTGCCAAAAGTTGGTGCATGTTCGGTTATCATTTTAGGTGCACTCAGAATGATTGCAAGTCACACAGCATACAGGGTAGGACAAAAAATATAAAAATTGCTCAAGGGTAAAGTACCCTTATTTCAGAAAATTCAGCAGAATGTTATTCAAAAAATTGAAAGTTATGCCTAAATACCAGAACATGACCTCCTAAGATCATTTTTAGTTTTTCAATTTTGGTCGTGAATTTTCCAATCTGTATTTTTTTTATATTCACCCTGAATACTTTCATAAGTTGATCATAACAAAATCAGTTGAGCATACCTTTGTTCAAATTCAAGCATATTTGTGCAATAAACTTAGATTTTAGTTTTTCTAGGGAATCACAAACTAAAAATGTCTTAGGATGCCATGTTTTGGTATTTAGGCATTTTCTGAAATAAGGGTATTTTACTCTTGAGCAATTTTCTATATTTTTTTACCTACCCTGTATGCTGTGTGACTTGCAATCATTTTAAGTGCACCTAAATCGATCACCGAACATGCACCAACTTTTGGCACTATCTGTATTTTTGTTGTGCAATTCATTAAAAAGATTTCCATATGTTGCACACTTAAATGACCACACTGTATATACTTATTTGGACAATTTATATAAGTATATTGTGAGGAATCATCTTCTGAAGTTTGTCAATGTATCTTTGACTCACCTTGTTCATCATATCGTTCAGAAATACCAATACCAAATATTTTTTTGACTGCTAGGTATACAACGAATATTTATTTTACATTAAGAAAATCATAAATCTGTGCCAAATAACAACTTCATGCAATTAGATCCGACAAGTGTTTTACAAACCTGCCTAAAGTTTGCATCCTGTTGCACATGGAAATGAACAGATGTCAGAGCATAATATATACTGCACTTTTTTTCTAATTTTAGATTCAATCATTGGTGTGTATCTGGGAAATAGAGAAATTCTCACCTACTGAAGTTGGCCCTTATCACTTCAGTATTATTTCATTGCTAATATTTAGATCATATTGAAACCATGATCATAACTTCCAACACTTACCGACAAGTCACTTGATGGATAAAATGTCATCAATGTTTCGTGATACCTATACAATATACTATTTTGCACCTTCGTTTTTGTCCTTTAGTTCCTCTGAACAGGGACTGAAGTGTGGCCCACTTGAGTTAGGTAAGGTTAGGTTCAAAGAGAGTGGGCCTATTCAGTCTGACATTCGTTTGGTGACATTCTTTAAACGATGTATGAATGCCTTGGA